GATTTTGTTCTTCAGAAAACTGAAGATTCTTGTTGTACAAATCTTTGGAGAACACATATATGATCTCCATAGGGGACAAATGAAGATCATTTTTTTTGTTTTTTGAAGAACACAGATTTTTAACAGTATAGTAAGGAAAAAATTCTCTAAAGTCTGTCCCATGGAACAAGAGCCACGTTATTACGTAAAACATCCCAATTTGCAGAGCCATAGACATATATAAGTCTCCTGGTGGTAAGAGCACGAGGAATTGACATGCTTAACTTAACGTAAATCATATGAACTGGCATAGTAATACAACTTTACTCTGGTTTGGAAAATGTTGTTAAAGACTAAAAATATGCCGAAATTTTTAAAAGTGCCTCTATTTCCTAAATTACTCTATACAAGGCAACAGTCTAAGAGTCACGCTAAAATGATGAAATGAAAATCTAAATGTTTTGATATATCAAAGCAGATGTAAGAAAGAAACAAAAATCGTTTTACAATTATGATGTGTTTTTTAATCAATAAACTCAAGTAAAATTATATGAGTAACATGAGAAAAAATGTTGATAAAGCAGTTCCCAGTACCGAACGATAACTTCATTCTGCCAACAAAATATATTAAAAATTAAACATAATAAAAATACTTAATTAATTAATATATGAATAGAATTCTTATATTTTCAAAATAGCGAAAGTTCATACTGAATAAAACAGAATTTAAAAAAGCCAAATTTTTCATTGAAAATCATAATAGAACTCTTCGCATTTTAGTAGTATTCTATGTCGTCAAAATCGCCTCAGTTTGGGCTATTATTCCAATAGCATGCATTCTTCTATATGATTTAAGATCCAACACGATTGCATGTGAATTAAGAATACATTTTAAAGTAAAATATGATCGTTTTGTATGGGATCATGAAAAAGAAAACAAATATACTGAATCATAAACAATGTAGGTGTTTGCTATTTAATTAAGCGACAGGTTTGTAGTTATCGTTAATGTAACATTAATAGGAAAATATCTTTTATTTACGTTTATTTGCATTTTAAAATAGATTAACAGACTTAATAAGGGTAATGCAGGTATGGTAAAATTAATTTTTGTAATCATACTATTTTGAGATAAGAAGACAGCGATACGAGTTTCAGAAACAGATTTAGGAATACTACACTTCTGAAAATAATCCAGAAAACATACTCAAAAACTCGGAGATGAGTAAGAAAAGAACTGTTTTTTTAAACTAGTATCTAAAGGAAATTTGTCGCACGTCTTTGAAGGAAGAAGACCCCGCCTTGCGTTATAGGGTGCTGCCGAAGCAGTTTCGATAAGCCCGATATCTTCCCTACAACTGATGATCTTCCGACACGGTCACCCATTCTTCTACTAGCAAGCTTCTACTAGCAAGCAAGCTGTAGCTCTGGACAGAAGGCCAGCTTGACACAGAGTTCTTTTCGCCCAATTACTCGAGCTCCCCAGACACACTCACTAACCACATACTAGCACCGAAGTACCGGTGTATGTCACAACGTAGTGAGCATGCTGTCGGATGGGTGATCCGAGACAATAGCCGTTAGTAACTTGTCCAATGTTATTCTATGAATGGATGGCGCCGAGGTTCGAACACGGTACCTTTGAAGTACGTGCCGAACAACATAACTACTCAGCCATAGCGGCCCCACGTCTTTGAAATGATACATGTGTTCCAAAAAGTTCAGACTAATGAACTAACATTCGATTTGATACACTGAAAATTGTTTGTAAATGACTAATTTAACCTATCTGAAAATGATCATCGATCATATTCGTAGAATTCAGGATTAACACGAAATATGTAGCAAAGGCCTAGAAGTGGAAAATTTGCGTCCATGATAGTTTCTAATAGTATTTAATTGTTCGTCTAAAGAGTTGACAATATCTTAAATTTTGATATATTCCTGATGTACACAAATGTCACACCCTCCATTCTATTGAAAAAGAGTCGGAGAAAAGATGCAATTTTGTTCGATGTTCGTAGATTCCACTGATTCTCTCTACTAGGAAATCAATCTACGTGTTTGATCTCCACCCGCGAATCAAACGTATGTTTTTAATAATGAAAAGCTCTTTATGTATGATAGACGTGACATATCCAACCAACAACGCTCTTCATTGAGAAAATATGTGTGTCATACTGAGTTACTGGCGTATAACATCTTTCATTTATTTTGTTATTAATAAATAAATACTCACGTATAAAAGAAGAAAAGAGATTTCAACAAGAAAAAAATGGGAAATTTAAGCTTAAACAAAGACATCTTTACTATAGATGAGAATATGAGCAGTGGAAAAAAAGCAGTTTTCTCTCTTTACTTTTCCATCGAGCTATTATGTATTATTAATTTTTTTCTCGTTTGACGTGACAATTTTTGTACCTGCTTAATAAATGTAAAATAAAAAAATCAAAGATGTTCTATGCAGAACTCTCTGTTTGCTGTGATGTCATGACTGGAAAAAGTAGCCAACACTGTGAGTGAGCTATTTTGTAATCATTGTTGATGAACATAATTGTTAGTGTTAGGGTAACTATGTGAATATATTAACTTTTTTCACTTTTTAACATATTTTGATGTCACTTTTAGTCACTACTATGTGAAAAATAAAAGAGATAAAAGGAAAGAGAAAAAGGAAGGAAAACACGTTAGAATAATATCTCCACTATTAGCTAGCATTTTGTTTCATAAAAAAAAGAATTTTTTTGTCATTGCGTCTACTAATAGACGGAAATAGCTAAAAAGTATGAATAATTGTTTGTTATAGTAGTTTCATTTAACAATTCTAATAGTTCACAAAAATATTTAGTGGTATTTTTATAACTCAGATGTTTATCAGTTATTATTTAACACTATTCATTATTTGTTTCAAAAGAGGTAAATATCAATGAAACTTAAGATATTTTCTCTCTGTTTAACATTCAAAGAATCATTGTAGTTTTATCTCAATGTTCAACACCATATGCAAGTGGTACAACTGGTTTTTGTTATACTTATGTTTCAACCCAGACTAATACATGGACAGATGCTGAGACTTACTGCAGAACATTATCACCATCTGGTACAATAGTACAAATATTTACTTCCACTCAATATTTAAATCTAAAAGCTGCCTCATTAAATCCCACGGGAAAAATATGGCTTGGTGCAAATAACTTTGCCTCATGTAGGTTTTGATACAATAATAATAAGCATATATTTTATTTTATAACACGCGTACTTCTAACTCGTCTTCACTGATGAAAATGTGCATTTTTCTCTACTTCTTTTCTATTGTATACATTTAAGTGCTGTTGATTTTTACAGTACGAAATTATAGTCTCTTATTGAAAACTAGTCTGTGATAAACTGGTGTAAAGAAAAATTAAGCATGAAATAAACGCCGATGTAGAATATAGATTTTTTTTTAAAGATAAATTCTGTAAGTTTTCGATTGAGTTTTTATACTATCATTTTCAAATCTTCTACTAAAATTTCCGATGAGAGATCAAAATCCAATGCAGTATATGAATCTCTGCCTATATGTTCTACACTCTTCTATATAAGAGAGCGTAAATCTGTTACTAATCTTCTGAATCCATTCATCTTGAAACAAGCCGGATTTGTCCGGCTAATTTGCTGCCTTTTTTTTCGTCGGTAAGAATAACTGTCAGATATAAGCAGAACTCTTTAGCTATGTGTCGCCTTTTCACAGTGATCATGGTTTCTTTTAACAAGAAAAATACACTAACAAGTTTTCCAGCAGGTTTACATACCAGAGTGTCTTCAAAGGAAAATGGATGATTGGTCTTCTTGTCCTCTAGATAGTAAAAATAAGACTGTTTTGTGCCATTTTAGAATAAGATTGATAGAATCATCCGGTCTGGAATAACACGAGATATAGAACAGATTTTTTTTAGAGTGCAAAAGTTAAGAATTTTTTCTAATAAAAATTCCAAAAACCTTTTGTCAACCAATTATTAACGATAAATGAATCATAATCCTGCTAAGTTTTATTTTCTTGAATGCTCTCACTTTTCTTCATCAGCAGTTTAGAGCGTTGGGTTTTATCGCTATTGAGTAAATTAAAAATTTTCTCACTTTACACTATTTAAAATAGATATTCTAAGCACTGATTTTTTTGCTCTAAACTAGGGATGAGACAGTTCCAGTTTAGTTCTTTTCAAAAAATTAAAATTGAAATAAAACCGGTGAACCTACTTACACTGACTTTGTGCAGCGCACCAAAAGCAGATGGTGTGTTTAGTTGACTAAACCAAGTCAATATAACTAGTCACATCGGATTTATTTTATTTTGAATTCTTGAAAAGAACTGGTGACTAGTTCTTTCAACCAGTTCTTAGGAACTGGAACTGTCCCACCCCTACTCTAAACTCTAGTGTTTGCTGTTTGTTCTATTACCTTTATGCGATTTGTTGATTTAATTAAAAGAATTACATTATTCAATCCCCTAGCTTGGAAACAATATACAATCTAAGTGTTTCGGTATCATTTTTTTGTTTTCTAGTTTTGGATAGCCAATGGCGTTGGCTGGACGGAAGCGTATTCGATTCAACTATTATTAACTGGTGTGCAGGGAGTACATCTACGTCCCCAGGTGCACAATGTATGGCGTATAACAGCGCTACACAATGCGTGACAAATGATAATTGTAGCTCACTTTATACATATCCTTGTGCAGTCGGTATGCGTAAATTTAATATATTTGCCTTTTTACTTTATAAAAATTCTGTTTATATTTAGCTGCAAAATCGACAGATAATACTGATTGGGTTAGCTACAATTTACAAACCTGGCAGAATTATTTTTTGGCAAATGGATTTAGTGTTGGGTGTGGAACAGTCAGCTCTTATTGGTTTACATACACGTTGCTATTGTTAAATTGGTTGATTTTACTTAGTCTAATACTCTACGTTTGTTATCGTTTCTTGATTGGTAAATTTACTCATCTTATGATGTAACAGTTTTCTATGATATTCAATCTTTATTTGTTCATATTCTAGACAAACGTCGTTTAATTATCTCATGTGTATTGATTACAATATCAGCAATATTAATTATTGCATTTGCAATACTATGGGGACTACAATGTCAGTATATCAATGATTGTTTTTCTTTATTGTCGTGTTCAGTAATGAAATAGGTGTCCTGAATGTTAGAGGAGCAAAATAGGATATGATCTTTGAAAAATTAGTTGAAGAGTACACGATTTTGTCTCTGTTTAGATCAAAATGTTCAGCCAATTGCGGTAGCAATCGTATGCCTTGCTTGTACAGCCGCATTGGTTTTAATGATTGGTATATTGATATTGTTAATCAATCAGACCAGAAGTAAAAACGATGTTTTTAGTTAAACTTTCTTGTTTCAAAAGAGCAACTTGCTATGATAATGTGTAACAATTATTCTCAGATGAAATAAAAGATTCAATCCATTTCATAAAGTTGTTCTTATTGCAGTTTCGATGATTTGCTAATGATTTCCTGTTTTCTAGTTCATCGATGGAGCTACTGTTTAGCTATTGGCGTAATTACATTCATTGTTGAAATTTTTTTAATGCTCGGTTTAATATTATGTATGGCACATTGTTCCCTTTACATAACACTTCCATTTACTCAATTAGATCACGGTAGTTTGTTTCATTATTTTTAATATAATCATTTTAATATTCCTGACTTAATTCATTTTTTAGGTACAATAATGGCAATATTAGCTGCAATTATAACGGGAATATCAATTCTATTTTTAGCCTGTATTCTATTTTGTATCGGTATGCACATAAATCAATAACGCAGAATTTGTCTTGTTATTTCTTCTACTTTGAACTGTTTGGCCTTTATTACTTTTAGCTGAATCTTTTGCACAAGATCGTGTACACGCAATAAATTCGCATAATACGGCTAAAGTTTCAAAAACAGTTGTCGTCACAGATCTGCCTCGTGCACCACATCAAATTAATACACATGTTAGCACAGCAAAACGAACCGTCGAAGAACGTGCAACATCTCCGGTTGACGAACGAATATTAAAAGAATTTTATAACGATAAACCAAAAGATACACATATGTATGCATTAGATGGGAGACAATATGTTGTCTATGAAAAAAATATTACTGATATTGATGTTTATAGAAGAGGTTAGTATTTTGTACATTGTGTGAGTATTACTGATAAATTTCTAAAGTAATTATTTATTATGAAAATGTAACTAAAAGTCAAACTAGAGTGGTGTACAAGAATTTAACATAGAGTATTACATTAGTATAATGTAAAGGATTCGATAAGAGAATCTGGGCGTATATTTCTTGAATGGTTTCAAATGAAAACCGTGAAAATTGATACTATTTCATTATATTCCTTTCTCTAATCGATTAGAAGAGTATTCGAGAAGAAATTGGATCGTTACATGACAAAAAACGAAAAGCTTATTTTTATATAGCCATAGTAAATCAATCACGTTACGTTAAAGATTTTCTTGTTTGTCATTTTAATTCATTTAAACAAATAAATTTAATTTGAACAGGAAAAAAGAATCCAGAATACTTGAAAATTACATATCATTCAAGTCCATATTTAGTATTAAAAAATTATGGTTATTTTAGAATTAAGAGTTAGAGTTTTTAGAATGTATCATGCCTTTCTCGTTGTTTTAGATTTGACCCAGGCAATGTTATTACAGGAAAAAGAGGGATTAAATGAAGCTGTAGAACGAGCTAGAGCCTCTATTCACGCAAGCTCATTGACAGATGAAATAAACCAAGCACAAAGTCTTCTGGAAAAACTTCATTAGAGGTAAATCTCCACATCTACAATTCACATATATGATTCTCGTTTGTAAAACATTTTCCAACCAATGCATTATTGTTGTATATCCACGTTCCAATCCACGCAAGCAAATTTTTATTCACATCATCCTTGTTGTAAATCTATTCCATTACGCTGAAATAAAAGTCGTTTCATCTCTCTTTTTATTTCTTTATTTTTATAATTAACTTATTCTTACAGTAGATGCTCTATATCCCGATCGGGATATATATCCCGTTTTGAATCAAAATATATCTCGATCGGAATATAGTCAAAAAACATGTACCTCAATTGGGATCTAAATTCGATTTTTTTAAATAAAATTCTTTAGCAAAAAAATGATGATGTTAGCGGAAACTTTTGACCATATCACACAAAAGAGAGTAAAAAACTGTGTCAGATTCTCACTATCTTATTTTGTAAGCGCCTGCCAGATGACTTATACTATCGTCTAACATTTCTTCTAAATGGCATATTTATGGGTTTTACGTAAATGTTTGTGGTGACGTTGTGAATTACTAAATCAATTTTTTCTTTCTTGATTTTTTCTTTTTTTGAGTCTAAAAGTCATTCACATTAATTATCAAGAAATTTCTGTTCCATTGATATTTTTATCGTTACTTACTGCATTAGTCAATTACGCGAGAATATTTCATGAGACTCTCCTTTACTCATGTTCTGTACAGAAAACTTGCTATTGAAAGTAATGGTAGACTAAACAGTTTTCTACACACTGATGCAAAAAATATTTCGGAAATGTTTGGTAGTTTTTGAGATACTAAAAACAAAACAAACAATTCTTTTGTAACACATAACTAAAGAGCTTTTAGTAAATTGTTACTATGAAGAACAGTTGCCTGACAAAATTCATGAAGTCATCTGGATAGTATACTAATTCAAACGTCAGTTCAGGAAAAACGTTCTAACTAAATTGGTATAATATATTTGTGTCAGAAGTAATTGAAATGATAAGGAACACACATACAACTAGAGTAAAAAAAAAATGGTTAGTTCTTTCAAAGAGATTTCTCATTTGGAACGATGATTTTGAATAATAGCTAATCGTACTCCAAAGGAATCCAACATGGACCACTTGACATTTATTATTGTTTAGAGTCAATAGCAGAGCTATACGTTATACAATAATGCACACATTTAGAGTTAAAGCAAAAAACATATAAATCTAATAGAAGAAAATAATACAAACACAAAGAAAATAATAACCAAATTTTTTTCAAAATAAATACAAGAAAAACAACTGGAAAAAGATTCACATGTTTTTTTTTCTACGTAATATTTAAGTTGTTTTATCGTAGATAAGATAATAGGGAATGATTGCTAATAAAGTATCATGCTCGTTTCTTCAATTGAATAATATGATTTCAATTTAATGGCTTTAATGACGATCAATTTTGGGGGCTTTTATTTTAAAGCTATAACATACTAGTCTGACAAAAGATTCGTGTAAGACTAACTCAAAATACATAATTATGTTAACATACTAATGATAATATTTCATGGATTTTATTTGCAGAATTTGGCTTTCTGCATTCTACGCTACCGTGGATCCCACTTTGCAAATTAAAACACACGATATTTTATTTTTCTTTCTATAAACAAACCAACATATAGAAATAAAAAACAAACGACAACAGATAGAAAAATGCTGCTGACTATTAATCTGTCGGTTTTGGTTTTGGGTTTTTTTGAATAATTATAGCCAACATGCAGCGACACATTTAATATTTTCTACATAGAGCAAAAACAGAGAATATAGAAAAAACACTATGATACATCATGGAAGAGAATAAAAAAAAAATGTTTCTTTTTCTTGTCTTGCGAAACTATAAATGTATAACCTAACAAATAGATGGGATGAGAGAATATGTACAAAGTAATCATCAACAAGAATAAAACATTAAAGTGACAGAAAAAAAAACACAAAAATCTAAGAATTTATCATTGACTTTTCTTAGAGTTCATCAATATAACAATCAATTTATTTATCATGACTAAAATAATGTACGTGTAGAGAATGAAAGAAAATTCTTTTCATGTATCTCCACCGCGCAGTTTTTTTGTACCATTTGATTGTGATGAACTGGATGATGTTCGTTTTGATGAACTAACACCTACCATTGACTGTGAGGTAGTCGGAGCAACAGTTAAATGATTAAAATTATTTACTTGTCCACTGGTGGCTGACAAAGAAGGTGATGAAAGATTATTTAGTGTTGATGATGTATCTTTTTGATCTTGTAACCATCGAACTTGAGTAGCTGGTCCATAACCTTTTTCATTTCGAGCAGCTATACGAAATATAATAGCTGGTTTCGAACTGGAACTTAAATCTATATGCGCTGTTAACAATTGTTGTGGAGGGACGGAACAGTCCGGATTTGTTCCACTATAGACACGTACAAAAGCCATTTGAGTTTGTTTTTGAGTCGCAGCTGATACATTAGCATCTTTTGGATTTTTTACGGCTAAATACACGGCGTAGCCAGTTATCATTGATGATGAATTCTGTGGTGGATCCCATGTTAAATGTGCACCACCATCTAATGTCTAAAAATAAAGAAAAACGTAAATTCAGTGGTCTTTGTATCATTTGATGGGTTTCAATTTTGACTCAGTATTTACCTTGCTAATTTTTATATTGGATGGGGCAGGAGGACTGCCCGGTAAACAAGTTTTGAATGCTGATGGATCGCTAAACGGACCACGTCCACAAGCATTAATGGCAGCAACTCGAAGTTTATAAATAGCACCCGGTTCAAGTTCGACACGTTTGACTAAGTTATTCGCTTCTATATTTTCCATGTCCTGTTTCAAAAAGTAACAAAATAATTAACAGTAGTTCCTAGATAAGCATTTCTGAGATGATGATCTTGAAGTAAAATATTCTCAGAAATCCTTTTTCTTTATCATGTTTCTCAGGGTAAAAACAATCCATATATTCTTTGATTTTAAACGGAGTCAGTTCTACAACAGTTCATGTAAATCGTAAGGTATACTCTATCGTTCTAATGTATTACTACTGTACCGTTGTTCGTTCAAACCTTGGCAGAAACTAGAATCGTTTAGAATCAAAGAATAAATGGTTTCGTACGTACATGTGTATCAAGATCAATATTTGGTGGTACGACATAATAATGTGTAATATTTGCTGATATTGTTTTAAACGTTCCCACTAAATGCCAACTATTTTGTTCTAATTTGTTTGTACTAGTATTCTCATTTGAATTTAACACAATATTGGTACTAACAGGCACAGAAAGAGTATTTGATACTGCTGTTCCGTGATCTATTTTTTTGTTAAACAAGCAAAACAAAAGTCAGACGTCTAGCCTAAATATTATTATCACAGAATTTACCTGTATGTTGTTGATGATGAAAGCCATCGCCAGATTGCGTTAATGTTGGATGTTGACTAACAATATGCATTCCATCTGTAGTAAACAAAGGAATTTTCACACTAACACAAAAAAGAAATGGTATATTAATATCTTACGAGCGTTTACAAATGAGGAGTTTTGGTAAATTGATTCTGATTGATCGGTACCATTCTGTGCTATCTAGAAGAGAAAAAAAGTAAATTATCAATACGTTAATTCGATTGTTCTGATTTATTAGTTAGATTTTTCCTTGAGTTTAACTGATAAACTTTGTATTTATCTTATTTTACGCGAAAAACATATTGGTGAGTTTTCTCGAAATCACAAACAACTTTACATACATGTTCATCGACAGAGTCAAATATCCCATCGAGCTGAGGAATCGCCATTAAATTCAGTTTTTCATGTTTATTCATTATACACGATTGTATACTCGATAATATTTTATCAATACTTGTCGTTTTGGATGTCGAACAATAATTATGTTCAGTGTTATTATTAACACAATGGCCATTAGAACCATCTAGTTGTGAAAGATGATCAATATTATGACTATCAGTTTCTGATGCGGACTGTTTTAAATTTCCTGTTGTCGTTGATTGTATTCCTAGAAGCTGAACAATATCAGCCGGTATTTCCTCTTGTGTTCCATTTTCAAGCGTTGTGCTGTTGGAAATTGTTGCTCCTTCGTTCGAATTGTTAGTTATTGTACCAATATTCATATCAAACGAATTAATAGGTAATGTAATATTAGGCGAAGATGAAAAAGTAACATTGCTATATTTATTCATATTTGGAGCTTGATTTAAAATAAATACTTGATTCGACGATGATAATTGTCCAGTGTTATTGTTATTTGTCATAATTATTTTATTACCAGCTGTAACTGCTCTATTTTGAGTGGTTGTTAATAATAATGGCTGCTGATGTTGAATGTTAACTGGTGTTTGTTGAACAGTCGTCGTTGCAGAATTGGTGGGCGTAGTTATTGCCTTAATGACTAATGGTTTTTGATTCGAAGATATCGTATTTAAATGAATAACTTGTGATTGCTGAGGCCGAGTTGGAGGTAGCAAACGAACGATTGTTGTTGGCTGGGAGATAGCTGTTGTTCGTACCTAAAGGTGAAAAGAAGAATAACTATTGCAGTTTTGAAATAAGCTTTCTGAATATAGCATACTGGATAGCGACTAGAAAGGAGAAAATAATCTCTCGTTTAAAGCGTTGAAAACGTTTTTTCTACTTTTGGAAGTAAGGTTTCCTAGATTACAGACATACCGGTGTGAAATTTGTTGGCGTCAAATGCTGTAATCGAACGCCCCCTGGAACAACAGTCAAGAGTTGTGGCTGTTGTTGTGTTGATGTTTTTTGAAAAATAATTGGGCGAGGCGAAACGCCAGTGGATGATGTATTTATAAATTGAATATTTGTACCTGGTCGTACAACTAAACAAGCGCAGATACAAATTAAATAATATGCTTAGCAATAAATAATGAAACAACCAGATACATACTAGGATGACTAACACCTGTTGATAGTGGTGTAAAAGTATTTGCTGATGTCAGACGTAAATTCGTAGGATTTGAGAATGTGATTGATGATGCAGAAGTGGATTGTTGTGAAGAAGGTAACGATGTCATTGTGATAGATGTTGGCATCGATACAGAATTTGACGATATTGAAACAGTTGGAATTTGAAACACAACAGATGAATTACTCGTACTGTTCATAGGCTAAAAGAAATGATCGCACATGATAACAATATATACGAAAGATTTAGTTGAGAAGTGTTGTTACATAGGAAGTGAAAAGTACGATATTTATTGAATAAGATAATAACTTACATTTGTCATCATTTGTGATGAAACAGCCGATATCGGTAATGCTTGAGCATTAATTGTACTGATTGATGATACTAAACTATGCGAGGAGTTAGAAACTGGTGCTCCCTCAGATGATTTATTCATAACCGGAGGTAATAAACATTGCTCAACGACAGCATCTAAACAGTCAACAAAAACATTGAACCATTTTAAGTAAAGAGTTTTTTATTTTTTCCGATTCATCATACCTGAATCTGAAATACCAGATGCTGATGCACTCGGTGGTTGCTGTTCTAAAAATGAATACAAATTTATTAGTGAATATCAAATGTAAGATAAACACATTATTACCGTTTGAAAAAGATGGGATGAACGGTGTGTTGACTAAATTTGTGACTAAAAAGATGTGGAAAATGAGAATATTTATTCAGTTATGATAATAAAAATTATGCTTTTTACCTGACTGTGGATTTTTTACTGTATATAATGGATTTGATCCGGCTTGTTCAGAAGATAAATCGAAACGCTGAATTTGTAAAATATATGAATCAGCTACAAGAGATAACATCAGCAGCTTTGTTTATAATCTTTTAAAAACTTGTCTTGTCTCACCAGCAGGAACTGAATTCCAACACACTTCTAAATTATCAACACCGGCTCTTAATAATTGCACTTTTTCAGGTTCACTTGGATATTCTGTTTCCAAACACCAAAGATCTTTACAACACACCTAAAAAAACAAAAATAAATTGAATTTGTTCGTTATTAGTTAATGATCAGGCTCATACTTGATTGTTCCATGCTTTTCTATAGCCGTCTCTGCCACTCCAAATGTACATTCTTGTATTTACAGATACCGCACAATGACCCGCTCTAGCACGCGGTACGTTTTCATCGAGACATTCTTGACCAAGAAGTTCCCATGAATTGGATTCTTAAAATCAAAACAATTTAAAGCTATCTCTTCATAATTCATAAAAGAAATGCTATATTCTACCCAAATTATATGCTGACAAGGTATTTGTGCATTTCCATTCTTTTTCATTCGTGAAGCGGTCTTCTGATGAAACTAGTGGTACCCAACCACCGAAAACAAACATTCTAAAAAATGAAGGAAAAAATGTGACAAGAACTGTAATCACTCAAAACAGTCAGACAGAAACTCAAGACAGATCAGTGATAAAACCAACAAAAAGAAGTAAAAAGATACTAAATTTGAAAAGGGAAAGGCAAAAAAAATAGTGTTTATCATCGTTTATTAGATAGTGTCGTATTTTTAGATTCATTAAGGAACAATTTATTATAGTGCTACAAACATTCACGGTTAGTTGTATAAAGAAAGGTAACTCTGTTCTGTTATGAAAAAACTAAAAATACTCACCTATGACCAAGTACCACTGATGTATGAAGACTACGCGGTTGCGGTATTATACCAGATGGTGTGATTTGAGTCCATTGAGAAAAATCTAAACAAACAATAAAAAAAATTAATCCGTCCAATTTTTTTGAGTTTTTTGGACTCCTGCAGAAGAATACTGTTTAAAAAATCAGACAATCGACTGGTTTTCAATTTAAGAGAAAACTATTCTGTTACCCACCTAGGTAAAAACACCAAAGATCACCGAGGCGATTCCCGTTCATTCCACCATAAATAATTAATTTTGGTCTGCAATCTAATTGACCAAGATGATAGATACATGTATGAGATTCGCGTGCTGAAATGAATGACCAGCTTATATAGCTTACACGACGTTTTATGAAGATTATGACTTACCGATTGGAGGTGTACCACGCGCTACTGGCTGATCCCACATACTACTAGATGTTTTGCATTCTAATGAATATAAATCGTTCAAATAACTATAAGAAAAATAACGAGAAACTAAAGTTAATCATGAATTATCTAAAAAGAAGGCATACCGTGGTATATTTTGTTTCGGATCTTTGCTGTCGTTTGCTAAACCACCAAATAAATAATATTTGCCATCGGCAAATGTCAGACTATGTCCTAACAACAACACACTTGGATTAAATAATCAAAAAATGAGACATAAACACAAACCTAATCTTGCACAGGGTACTGTGGAATTTCTTGATGCACGTGGTTTTAGCTTCTTCCATTCCCATTTCGCAGGATTTAATTCCATCAACTCAGACGAATATTTTCCATACTCCACCATACCACCAAAAACAAGTACTTTGGTTCCATCAGTTGCAAAACCAAATGCAGCGCAACCTGTGGGTATGTCTCCTTTTGTCGGAGGCTGAAACCATTGATTGTTGGCTACAAAACACGTATAGGTTAATTCAAACATATAGCTAACGATATAAATTTAAATCACTATTCACCGCAATTGAATACATTTAAATCATCTACAATTCCTTCATTTCCGCCGCCAAATATGATGATCAAGTCTTTAACAGCTATACCCCGATGTCCTACAAATTTTGAAGAAAATATGCCAGATAAATTTTGGGCACAGTCTTTAAAATAGCGTACCATGTCGAGGCTTTGGATTTTGACCAGAAAAGGAATCAATACGTTTCCAAGCTGGATTTGGTGAGGTCATTCTTTGTCAGTAAACGACACATCAGATTCAGAAAACTTAAAGAATTGGTTTTAATTTGGTGAATGAAAATGATCAAATGGTTATACGACTAAAAATTCATATTAAACATATATATGCAACATCGTCACTTTTCTCGCTAGGAATAGAAGAGGATAAAATGAAAATGAAATAATACGTGAGAACGTCAAAAGCAATGGATGGATGGCCAGCTAGCTATTCGCCATCTTACTGTATTTAAGACATGAGCCTTCATGGTCAATTTGACAGATATATGCTGCCAACTTAACTGAGTTCTAAAGATCGAATATCTTCATTAAAATTTATTGTCATAAATATTTCAAGATAAACAGAATAAGGATCTATGATAATGATTTAGTACAAGGCACAATTATTCGTAAAGTGCATCAATGCGTACTATTGTCGCTTAATGCAAAAGAAAGTTTGTTAAGACAGGCACCGACATAAAAAATGACTAGCAGGAGAAATACAATCAGCCTCAATATAAAATTTGTTTTGGTAGCAATGAGTGTTTGAGTATGGCTTGTTTCCCAGTAACCATCACAGATAGCTGACAGGAGCCACTTTCTACGTCTTTTCACGTAGAAAGTGGCACCGAATGGCTATCTTTTTTTTTGACGGTTAGCGGGTAACAACCTTGAGTACGTTAACTTTTAAGAATAAATCTAGTTCTAACATCGTAAAACAAAAGGTTCATGTCGCGCTCGCTATATATGTGCTGTACATAAACGAACATTTTGACAAAGTTTAAAGCTCTGAAAACTTCATATACCGCTCACACGTCTACGAAAACTTAGTTCCCTAGTTGAGGTTCCCGACCAAACTCCCACGGGACTCCTATCATGAGACTCAGATGGGATTTCCAAGGGACTCCTGAAGACTCCCGCAGGACACGAAAGTTCTTGAAGCATTAGCGTTTGTCTGGAAAATAAATTTTTTTCTAAGACATGAGAAGTCCAATTTTTTTTCGTTGATTTAGCCAGAAGAGAGCATAAGTTCATAATCTATCTTATTTTGTTTAGAACTTGGTTGGCTTTAATGAAAAGCGTATTGTCCCAAATTCTAATGTGTTTTGAGGCTAATTTTTGCTCAAGTGTTTTCTGACAATCCTTAGTACTTAGGACAAAAATTTTTTTTGGGAATATATGGCCTATATCCTAAAGTATAGCCTTCTAAAAGAAGACAGAACGTTCATTTCTCTACAAAAATGACATATCTTCCACGTTTACATTGCTGAGCCAAATGAAATCGCATCACGAACTCGAAAAGAGCTGATTAACGTCTAAAAGATGCGTGATTTCACTGATATTGTTGTACAACAATTCTGTATTGATTCCAACTCCGTCTACGCAACTTTAGCTTAGAAGCGTGAAAAATATGTCATTTTATAGCGAAATAAACGTTTGTCTAATGATATGTTTAAAAAAAATTTTCGATGTACTGTGCAGTTGGTAGCTTTTCTGGAAAACCCGGGATTTCAGAGACCTATATCTCAGAAACCGGAGATAAAGCATTAGGATCTCACAAGATTCATATGTTTCAAGAGGTGTAGAATCCGAAAATGTGCAGTGGGATCAACAAAAATGGGGAAGCATAGTTAAAATATAGCTTGTCAACAATCAAATAAGTGCAGTAATGCTTATGAAAGGTGGCTCTCAGCAGACTTACAGGAGCGATGCGAAAAACAAAAAACCACATTTCTAGATAGAACTGACCACGAGGAATATGATGCACATATTAGCTCTGAGTTTAGAGTTCGATTTGATGGTGAAAAACGCATTTCAATACGACGGATTTTCATGATTTTCACCATCTTAGAACAAGTACAGTAGAGCAATGCAGCATTTTGAATTCTTTTTAAGTGAGTCATTTTATTCCTTGTGGTCTCTAGTCTATGTCCTAAAGCGTTCATGTTTTTCGGTTTTGTCATTTCTAAGATAATTAGGTACGAATTACCTCTTGGAACCTATAAAATTCCCAAATGTCGAACCTTCCCAGAACCCCATGCCGATGTTTTTAAATTTTTTAAATGACACATTCTTACTCAGAATTAAGCGCTCTTTCAAATGAGATACGTCACGATTTTTACGGCCAACCTTCGTGTAAACTGGGGGACAGTTCCGAAAGTATTACCCAGCAACTAGTGTTATAGTACACGTTTCTTCGCTTTAGCTAAAATCACATGTATCAAAAAAACTGTTTCTATGTTGAGGGATCTGACTTTTGGTAACGGATCACAATGCACATCCATGCGGGCATTTAGCAAAAAATTCGACGCGCTCTACTTTCCGATCGAAATAAAGCTATGAACTTGTGTGTTTTACTAGTCAAAAATCATTAAAGACTCTATGAAAAACCTCTGAAAACTCTTCAGAACCCACATTGTACGAGCAGCAATATTCTAGAAATTTATTTGACGATATAAAACATATTTAATCCAAGTAACTTGGTCGAAAGCTTCAAAAAATGTGTTGGTTTTAAAGGGATTTCTAGAAACAACTTCAAAATCTCGTTTCACTTATATTTTTAAACTTCGGCAAAGCTCTATGTTTGTTTAGGTTTTCAAGCTCTTTCTACCGGTATACTTAAAGTGTATTTTATGTCTGTCTACAGGTCACGGGCTCAATTTTTAAAATTGAAAAATGATTATTTCTCGAAATGTTTTTTCCATTATGTAGCTATAAGTCTCCTTTTTCGATCGGTTGGATTAGAAATATGTTTAAAACTGTTTCATGCCGATAAAAAGGATTGCTCCTAAATTCGATACTATAGAAAATCTAAAGCAATAGTTTTCTAGAAACCCCATAAAATGGTTTTTAAACTTTTTTCGAGACGACCATTCGAAAGAGCATATCTTCAAACCCCTTAAAGATCAAAATTATCAAGATTGATTTGCAACTCGTCGTTGTGGCCTAGATTAACTTTCTCATGTAACACGCCTAACGAATCTATTTCAATATAACTCAATTTACGAAGTTGTTTAAAATGGAGTGAGAATATCAAATAAACAAAAGTCGAAAATGAGTTTGGTAAGCTTTGTGGAGCAATCGTTAATAGTAACGTCTATATTATTTTTTTAATCATATAATATGTAACACTACATCTAGATTAGCGCAGAATGTTATGATTAAGCCTAAGACATTTTCATTTTTATCATACGATAGAATTGTATTCATACTTTTTTTAAGTATAAATATTCATTTAGCGTGCTGTCGTACAGTTTTTTTAACTGTTCATATTTTCTTTGTTTATAGATCATAAAATGAATATATTCTTCATGCCTTTGCGAAAGAAGTAAATTTTGAACGAATTCGATTCATAATCTAAAACCTGTTATTATAACTACTTTTTCTTATGACGGACATAACCATACGAGCATGACGTACATTTAAATATCATATCTGTTGAAGTTTGTTTACTCCAACTTATTGTTAGATTTTTCACTGTACCAATGCTTACAAGCCAATTATTAGTAAATTTTATGGATTTATTGGTCGTAATCCAATGTCCATCATCTTTTTCTTAAAACAATAATTCTAATCTCTCCAGTCCTTTGGCTACTGAAATCGGGTTTACCCCTTGCATCTATGTCCAAAGGTGTCGAAACAATGAGTATAAGATAACTTGTCCAAGACTATCACGCGATCGCCATTTCTGACATTCGAACTCAGTACTTTGTTATACGTTATCTGCCCAGTAGCCGGCCGAGTCACGCTGTTCATCATCTAAAAATACTGTTTATTTTTATTTACAGTTGTAACAGCATAAAATGATTGGAATAGTACTAGAAATCAATTGCTGATAGTACAATTGTTTCATAGAAATATAACTGGCCTCAATGTTCAATAGTATTGGAGCTACTTCATTGATAAATATGTTAATACAAATAGTTACAGATGTGAATTATGGTAAAAAAAACGTTAATTACAGCTATGAGCACACATAATATGAACACAATAGAAATATTCACGAGAATAAAACGCTTAAGTATGAAGTAAATGACCAAATTCAGATGTCTTCATTCTAACCATATACCTGCTCTGTTATGACCTAATGACATTTAATTACATTGCAGATATCGTTGAATGGTTAATAAAAAACAGATTTGACGAAAAAATGAGAGTCTGTTTGCATATATTTTCCACATACCTATCAATAATAAAATGTTAAATAAATAATAATTATTTTTACTTCAGCATATAAATTCAAAAATATATAAAATATCCTGTATAATGTCTCGACACAATTAATGTGTCATAGTGGTAATGAGTTTCAAAATTAAAGTAGTCCGTTCATAAGTACATTATCTATGATTCAATAAATAAGAACCAGTTAGATTCAGCATACTTGAAAAAAGTATGTTATCATTATAATACTTAAAATTTTATTTATCTTATTTTTTCTAATAACAATCCTTTTGTTTTTAATATACACTTTATTTGAAGAACAATTCTAAAATCATGAGCAGTTTCATGCCATATTTTTATTAACTTCACTCAAAATCCGACTTTCAACATTCTCAAATCAGTTTATTTAACATTTTAAGTTAGATCCACGTAGACTTGACAAATAGTATAGCAGAATGGGATAAAAACTTATTTTGAAAGACAAGGCAACCATCTATATATTAAATTAGTTCTAATCTTTTAGATAAAATAAACATTCATTACATTAGTTCACAGTAAATTTCCATTATTTTTTAACATTTTCTGACTTCTAGTGATTCTTCTTTCTTCTTTATATATGTGATTTGTATATATATGTAAGTCTATATGTAGAATTGTACATAGTGCGGTGGATAATTGTTGTGTTCAATGATGTTGTAAATAATGACGTTTCAAAGAGTTGAATGTTTTTCTTCGTCTTTAAGCAATTAATCAATATAACATTTTTTTTTCTATTCTATTTACTAGGGCACGATGATAATAAGCGAAAACAAAGATCATGTTTGCCATGCGTCTCTTTCTCGAGGTATGATGCCTTCGATAACAAGACTAGTCACTATTATATATTAGTATCTATACTTATAATTAACAAAAAAGAAGAGAAGAAAACGTCGTGAACACAGCTTCTTGCTGAATGTCAAAACAATAAGAGTGATCGATCTTAGTTGTTCATTTCGTGTTTTCGATTTGTACCGGGTGGTCCACATTAAATGGCAATCTTATTTTTATATTCAATATTTTGAATATAGCTTATTTTTTACTTCGTTTGTAGGACTCAATTGGTATGCCAAAAACTTTGTCATAAAATTCTTAACAAAAATCATCTTAATTATTTTATCGTGGAAATTTACTAAAAAAATATTTAAAAATCTCCAATTTATCATTAAAGTTTTTGAAAGGATTTTTTCTTTTTGAATTAAAACTGCATAAGAAACAATCTTTTATGACATCAAGTGTGCACTTTCACCTTATGAACTGAATAATAGAGTTGTTTTAAACCTAATTTTATGACATAAAAATGAATAATTTTCTCGAAATTCTATGAAAAACGATAAAGTTTTGGATTCCTCTGAACATACTAAAATAAAAAAACATTCATGAACTTTTCGCACTTGGATATAATAGAAAAAAAGGAAAATTTTAACAGCAGTTGCTGTACAAGTTTTACTATATTTATTCAAATATTTGCCCATAAGCAAGAAAAATTCATAATAGGCACGTTGATTCTCTTCAAAATAAAAAAGAATCTGAATGTAAAAGGCTTGAATAATGTGGATTTCACGTAATAGTAAAAAAACTGCTGATTTTATTATACACCGTTAAAAATAAAAAAAATTTTAGTTTTATTATGGAAAAGTAATTGTAAGAGAAATAAATGTATCAAAAAGATAGATCTATCGACAGATATAAAAAATGATTAATTAAATTTTTTTTGAAGTTTTTAAAAATAATTGAAAAGTTAAAAAATTAGATAAAAAGATCATTTCATTTTCTAGAATGTAATGTTACATTTTCCTATCATTAATTCATTTGTTCTATTTAAAATGTAAGAGATTAATTGTATTGATTTCTATAAAATGAAAATTTGGTTTACAAGTAGAATGTTTTACTACAAATTTAAATTTATGTATTCAAATCTCTATTTGTACAAAATTAATTTTATATTTTTCAATAGTTTTAATTTAGAATAATATAATGAAATGGTTTTCTGCTAATATTCTGAAAGAATAAAGTTTCGATTAAACTTTATTTTTTCAAAAACTTATCTTCCAAAAAAAATTAAAAAAGATGACATATACTAAAGTTGTGTGTTACTTTTAAATGAAATAATTGATGAGAAAAAAAAAAGTATCAAACATCTACTTTCTTGATCGGAAAACTTGACCTGTCGTTTGTATTTTTGATTAATAGATTTATAAAATGTATTTTAAATATTGAATATATTATTGGTGAATATATCAAAACTAGTCTGTTCTCATCTTTTGAGATGTTCGTGTATTTAGATTAATGTACTCTATTGTACTTAAAACATATTAATCAAATTGATGAGCTAATGTGTTCTCAGACACTCTTTCTCTTATCCCATTCATATCTTGATTAGAAAATTTATCTATTTTTAATTCATAAATGATGATTTCATTTGAAAAATGACCAATTGCGTGAGTGATGAGGGCGGAGATTTTTGAAGAAAAATTATTTGAACAAAAAAAAAAAAGATAATAAAACGAGATATTTCAAATAAATCCCTATGCGAAGTAATATGAATACTATATATACTCATTCTTTTTTTTTTAAATAAAAAAATTGTATAAGAGAGAGAGAGACTAGACATATCGTACAATCTCGTTTTTCTCTATATTATATACTATTAATAGGTATCCCAACACTATTATCTCCTTTCTAAACATTTTCATGCAAATACTTTCTTGAAAGTTTTCTTGAATAGAATAAGAACGAACAATTGAAATAATTGAAGATGTTTATATTTTTTATTTCTCTTTCAAAGTATAGATTGCCTCTAAACGTTTATATGTATACAGAAGATTTGTGTTCTTAATCTATATCATAATAGGTGTTTAGTGCATAAGTTTGATTTTTTTTTGACTAACACAAAAACTTTTTTCACACCATACTATATATATGAGTTTTTTTTCTTGCGTTTACTTCTTCAGATCATATATTTATATATATATATTCAAACGTGACTGTGCAATAAATTATATTGGTAAGTTGACGTAAACGAGTCGATTTATGCAAACGACACCAGTAATAATGTTCAAAAAAACGTTTCCTACTACTTTATTTCTTTTTTAAATTAGATATACATGTTTAATTAGTACTAATTGAACAAATTTATTCATATACACTTCAATTTTTATACTATTAATTAATATTAAGTTAATTACATCAGAAAGAACATGAATCGATCAAAAGTTGTAAGTAAAATTTTACTATTTGAAACTATCTTGATAAAATTTAGCACAAAACTTGATGATTTAAAAGCAAACTGCTGACAGATATGACTGCACTACTCTTGAACGAAAAATTTCCTGTCAACATCCTTTCAACAGATTGATCTAGAGTTATTGTCCATAGTTCTTGTACAAAAAAATGTTTAGAAAGAGAAAATCCAAGTATTTATACTTATCTCGTATTTACATTCATTCGACTGCAAAAAAACAAGAGATTCATTTTAATTAGTTACTGGACTTGCGCTGACACAGCCTGAAGTATTTACATATCTTAAAGAGTAAAAAGTTTATTGTACTGATGCAAAATGGAATCAGAACATTAAACTATTTAGTACAAAGAAATATCATATTTTCAGTTCTAGTCAAGTTGCTGAGATCTTTGGCTATTCGTAAATTTCAATGTCATTACTATATCTGGGTAGTAAAATATCTTTTTTAACCACTTAAAGCATTCACGGATGACTTCACCATCTATAAACTTTCAGTTTTGTTTTGTTTTATTGCTAATATCATTTGTCATTCCCTCTTATATTCTACTATCGAATTTGATTTTTGTTGTTGTTCATATATGTATGAAATAGGTGTATATAGATATTGATAATAGACTTCATATCTTTTTTAAAATACACGTATACGATGTGTGTATTCTTTTCTCAATAAGAAGAACTACTTATCCATAAATAAAAGAGAGGGTCATTCATTCTCTATTATTACACGTTTTTTATGTGTTTGCAAGTGAAAAACTATCGATGCGGATATTATGCATATATGTCAAATGAAATCAAAATTCATCTTTTATTGAAGTGACCAAGGATAAAAAAGATTTTGGTAAAATCTGAAGGACGTTTTAATAAAACAAATTAGAAACTTGGACAAATTAAAATAATGGTTACTCATCAGAATAGCATATTCTGAATATACTATAGTGCTGACCACAACATAAATGAGAGTATTTTGTGACAGAAGAAGAGAAAGTAAATTGTAGTCGCATATTTATTTTCTTTTGTTTCATTTGAACACTTTTTTCTTTTTCGTTGATTTATTGTTATTTGTAGAATAAGAAAAAAGAGCATACCGCATTGAAGAAGAAATCGTTGATGTATGTGTGTCACTGCATATAAAAATCTTCTTTTCATTTTGTAACAAATCTTCTCTATTCTCTGAACGCCGAACTGTGGGATATTTCATACATATATATATATATATACAGCAGAAACAATACGCGAACGAACTAAGAAGCAAAAAGACAATAGACAGAGAGAGAGAGAAAGATAGATCAATAAGGTGTACTATAATTTTTTTTGTGCAACGTTCATCTCTATAGACATAATAGAGGATTGAACGAAATATACGGAGACGGTTCAAAATAAATAAAAAAATCTTGTTGAATAGTTTGCTTTACTTGAAACGTAAGTAGTAGTTATTACTGTCGATGTCTCTTTCCATATATTGTGGGTTAATACGTTAATGACAAAGAGAGAGTACTTCAGCTAGCTGAAAAATACTAATTATCGTTAGAAGTAAATCAAGAGGAAAAGAAACTTGGCGATAGAACTAGTTTCCACCTAAAGGGTAAGATTGATGATCAGAAATTTGCATGCGTTCCTGACATTATTTACTCTTGAAATTTGCCATTCTCTTAGTCGTGAGATCCTAGGTTTTTTTGATAAACATCGCTCATAATTAACTGTTCGTTATTTTTATTTAGGTCACTACAAAAAAAGAACGTCGTTCTGCTACTGAGACAAAAAAGAATAGTAAAAATTCAAACCTATTCGAAACGCTTCCCTCTCTTGTACTGATCAGTTCTCCACAAGCGAAAATGTCATCACCACCACTACCAACAGCAACAACAACAACAACAAATGGTTCTGTCCATGAACCTGATTTAACAACGTCTATTTATGATACAATTAAGCCAACATCAGTCGAAATCAACAGTCAACCATCATTAAATGGTAATAGTAATGGCAATTTCGAGAACAATACGGATAATTCGACACAGTCACCTTCGCCGTCGAAACATGTTTTAAAATTAAAAGTTGGTGGTAATGATGAAAGTAATTCGAGTGAAAAAGCAACAACTACAAATGGTGTAAATGGTCATCATATAACGCCACCTGATTCCATTGAATCTCCATTAGAACCATTAATTGTTCGTGAAATGCCCAAAGAAAGTTATAATAGTAATAATATAGTTGAAGATTTAGTATTTGGTACATCGCCAGCAACAACAACGACCGCGACCGCAAATGTTTCAAATGGTGATGGTGAAAATGAAAATAATGTTACTTCTACCATGCTTAATCCTTCTTCGCAAAATGTTAATACAGATGAGATAGATCATTCGAACAACAACAAAAATTTGGGTCCAAATACGAGCAACGATTTGGGTTCTGACAGTGGTCTGGCATCATCAAGCGCTACATCAACGCCATCAATATTGCCATCTGACGATGACACGAGTGGTTCATCTATTTCATCCGTTAAACTAAATCAGTCCACATTGAAGAATATAAACGAAAATGATTCCTCAGCCATGTCCGATACAGCATCAATAACAAGTTCAAAAACAATTACAGACGACACAGTTGAAGATCATAAAACATACGTCGATGAACCAAAATCTGATGTTGATCAATCATATGGTGGTGTCTTTCAACCTGAACCAAGTTCAGTGAAAGACACGGTTAAAGTATTTGAAGCAGCATTAGCCGCTGGTAGTGAGCAACTGCCACCATCATCAACAGCTCAGGGGAAAAAAGCATCAACAATGAAAACGTCGTCAACAATAAAAGATCGTCCAAACACAAAAAGTTCAAATAGTTTTTCATCGAGTGACAAAACAAAATTATCAAAAGAGCAAATATCGCCGTTAGGTTCGTCAGTCGGTTCAAGTGAAAGTTTTGATACGACATCAGTAGCATCATCATCGTCAGCTACAACAACTACACCCACTATTCCAGTACAACAGGAACAGAAAGAAGTAAAGTCAAAACCATCTAAAAAACGTCCTTCACTCAAAAAACAAATACAACATTTACTCAAAATTGATAAATCTTCACCGTCACAAAACGATGATTCACACAAACAAGAAAATGTTATTCAAGAAGAGCCAATAACATCGTCACCATCGATGACAACAACAGCGAATAAAAAAGCCAATACGTTAAATTCAAGAAATAATAAAACAGATAAACGTGATAAAAATGGTACTGATGGTATGTATTTTTAATTAATATATTCGAAATTATAAAAATTGTGTGGTAATATTCTCTTTTTTGAGCGCTGTATTATTGATAACACGTTGTTGCGTCATTTTACCTGTTTCATTTCCCTGAAAACTAATTTCTACTTTAAAAAATGTAGTCCAGAATTTTTGGATTGATATGAATACCATCGAGGAAATGTTAGAAATAATCTCAGCATCTAAACAAGTTATGGAACTGTATAACTATTATGAAAGTGTTTTTAGTGGAAATTGACACGTCAGTGCTTTGTTAGAAATTGCCTTCAACTTTCTCGATATTAGCCCTTCAATGTTGTTATCATTCAAGTTGACTTTAGTAAAGAAAAAATCGCTATTTTGTCAAAATAATAGATGATGAAATAAAAACGCTGATTAGTTTCATAAGTTCTTCCCTTTCTATTCATCGATAAGATTATAAAATATGATTTGTAATGGTGATGTTCAATGAACGAGGATATATAGATGTTTTTGCATGATATACATTTGGATAAATGCAATATGTCATCTATAATCATATGTGTGTTACAAACTTTCTTAACACCTTTCTTTTGTTCTGCTTCAATAATTTTTATTTTTATTCTCTAAAATTTGTTGTTATTGTTGTTTTGTAATACTGAAAGGCGTGTGCTATCAATCATTTTAGAGTGCCATATACATGTATTCATATTTTGTCAACTCGCACTTTATACTTAACTTATGTTCATTCTTTCTACTTGTTTTAGTTAATGAAACAAAGGTCCATATATCCCCGCTACATAGTCCAGATTCGTTGAATGAAAAATTTGACAAAGATTTATCATCAATGTTAACAGATGAACAAAAAGCAAATGTATTTAAAAAACGTCCATCACCTCCGGCATCATCATTACAACAACAGAAACGTACATCACCAAGAGAATCTGTTGAAAAAACCCAGACAACAACGACAGCAAAAACGACAGAATTTAATATGCATTCACCAACATCAAAAACAATAGAACCATTAGAAATCCGAATATCAAATGATCCTATATTTACAAAGAAAAAATCTGTATCACCATCGTCAAAATTAAAAACAGGAGGATTATTACAACAGAATGATGCTGTAACATCAGATAAAGTCACTGTTACAAATGAATCAGATGGAAGACGTTCAGGCGTATCAAAATTAATATCATCATTTCAAACATTAAATAATAATAATAATAATCAACATGATAATGATGGAATTGATAATGGTGAATTAGAACAAACAATACTTGTTCCAAGATTACAACGATTAAGTACAAGTCCAGATAAGTCGGTTAGTAAAATGTCTCATTTTTTATTGATTAGTTGTCTCATTTACTGCGCCACTTTCATTATTCTAGCACTGATTAATGTAATGAACCATACAGTATATACTTTTTTTTTCGATCATGTTAATAATGACATTAGTACAGATGAGTTGTTATATGATAATCTCTAGATTAGCCTTCTACATTAATGACCAGAAGAGTTTCTTAATTATACACTAATAATTGCCTAATATAATAATATAACTAAGATGTTATTACTATTAGTCTTTTTTTGTTGATTAAAATGTTGATTCATTATTCTGTTTGAAATCATATGGAAAGACAAATTCAATCAAAAAGCAGAAAGAGTGTTTTTTATTTATTACGAATTGAAAATAGATTTTAGGATCGGGAAACGTTTTTTAGCTACGTGTAATTTTATCGATTACTGAAAACTCAAATTTCTTCTTTCTTACTATCTATCGGAAATCTCTCGTTGACGATTGTCCTATCAAAGATGGTATGATTGATCTGATTTATACAATGATATTTATAATGATATAGCCTTTAAAACCATATTATATCGTTAAAAATATTAGTTTCGACGTGTTTGATATAAAAGAAACTTTTTTGTTTGCTTTCTATATGTGAAAAGAAAAAAAAATTTACCTTGCAAATGATTTTCAAAGATTAAAAGTAAAGAGTCATATTGTCATTTTGAGAATGAATCAACAGATGGGTGATTCATTTTTTTTTTTTGATTAAAATTAGTTTCCTCATGTATTACTATTGTACTATTGTATGAATAACAAACAAATTAGGTACTAGAAAATTTGAAAAGACGTCGATCCATTATTAACAACTTCTTTCTCATAGATAATAATTTTTAGTTGTTTAACTAAAATTTTGTTAAAATATATATTTATTGTAATATGCTGTTCTTGTTATAAAAATTATCGGTCTAGTCAATTTTCATTTATCTATTATTATTGAAAATAAAAACCTACAAAATGTTGTCACGAACATTCATAACTAAAGATATGAATATGATGATATATTGAATATTGAACGAAATATATTTTAATTATGATTTCGTTTTTTTGTTATCGATGACCAAATACAAACATACAATGTTATTGGTTGCTAAGCTTGAACGCATTTTGATGATGCTCATTAAGTCGTCGTTCTTACAGCTGATATTATTTTGCTTTCAGTCGTTTTTTTTTTTGTCTTGAGATGCAATAATATTTATGTCTTCTTTTAAATGATTTAGAACCAATTACTTGTGTTATTCATAGATAAAAATAAGTTAAGTTGATTGACAGCTCTCTCTCTCTCTCTCTCTGTATATTTATAGAGAGAGAAAGATAGAGAGTAAAAGATAGAGAGAGAAAGAGAGCGCGGGGTTATACATTGATATTTATCAATTAAAGTTTGATCCAATATATATACATTGAGTAGAAATGTATTGTGTGTTCAGTTGTTTGTTAAAAAAAGAAGAAATATAAAGTGTTCTTTTACATGTCTATAGGAAATGAAACCCTAAATATTTCAACAGGGTAACAATGCAATAGAAGAGAGAGAGCAAGCATACAGGAACACTCTATAATCAAGAGATAGCACTATTTGAGATTTTTCATTTTTCAAGAAACAGAGAATGAATTTAGAATGGAGAATACAACACAAATAATCAAATTTAGTGGTTTCTCTTAGATATTTCATGCTAATCTGTTAAAAAAGAGAATTAGACACATGATGTTTGTCTGATACCTTAGTTTGATCGAATATCACCGTGATAAAATAATCTTTTTTTTCTGTTACTTTTTGATGCACATTTAGAAGAGATGATGTTCTTAGATGTTTGATGTAATAAATTGTGAAATTTGTTAATACAATAGGCCCATTATGATATTCGCTTAGCAAGATTTTATTCTAAATGAGAGGCGGAGAGGTTGTCTCTTGTATTTGTTAATTAATTTATGATTGACACAATTTAAATCGAATTTATAATTCTCTTTTATTCAATCCATTGTTGTTCATGAATAAATTTTGATAGAGAAACATGATCTTTCTTAGAAACACTGAATATTAAGCTACTCTCATAACTTTTCATCAAGCACTCTTTTGTCGTCTTTATTTAGTAAAAAAAGAAAGAAGAAATGAAGTGTCTTTTTCACTTTTACGAATATTTTTACTTGTTTGTACATTATAAAACTTCTTTTGAGTTGACATATTGGCAATAGTCTATTTAATTAATCAACTGGTTGATAATAATATCAAAAATAAATGAAAATTATAAAATATTTGAATACTTCTGTCTTTGTTTTGTCTGGTTTTGATAAATTGGCATCATGTTAAAGTTTAATTAGTTATTACAGAATGTTCACCTCAGGTTAAATCAACAAAAACTCATAATGAAGATTATATTTCTTCAGATCTCGTTTATATTTTTTTATTATACAATCATTCTCTCTTTCACATACAATAAGATACATTTGTTTTAAATGAAATTTGTATTTTATTATGAAAAGTATATCACTTGCATGTTATTACTTCTATTATTACATAAATGGAAGACGAAAAAAGAACTAACATTTTTGTTTTGTCAATAAAATACAAGTGTGTGTATGTGATTTGACCTACATTCTTGACAGTGACCACTACTACTATCATAATAGTCACGAACATGTACATACATAATTTGAATAATTAATAAAATAGAGAATATTAAAAATGTTTGCCTTATTTTCTCTTCTCTTGCTATAAAAAAAATGATTTGAGACAATGTGAGATTCGCAATATCACTATTATAACAGCTTTAAATAGTCAATATCTTTTTAAGCTCATTTGATTTGTAACAGTATCATCTGTATATACGTGTATGTGGTGTGTACGCACGATAAATTTCCGACAGCTAAAATTACGACAAATTCGTTGAAATGTGTCAGAAATGTAGAAAATCACTTATCGCAATGTTTGATATAAAATAGGGATAAATACGAATGCTAAGAGTTTTCCTCATGATAAAAGATTATTTTTGAAAATTCCCATTAGAATAGTATTTCAGAGCTGCTGTCTCTCTTAGAAAGGTATCGGATCACCTGTCTAAAAGTTAATCTAATTATATTCTATGAATACAATTAGATAGAAATCATCTGATAGAAATCATGCGCTCTCAATATGGGCTTTATATTGTACATGTAAAACTAATATCATTTATTTGAAATGTATTGTCAAGGTTTCTTGGTGTTTTTTTTTCAAACATGACTGACACAATCGCACGTATGGTTGGAAGATGTTCATTAATTTAATTTTTCTTCTTCTTCTTCTCTCTCTCTCTCTCTCACCACCCCACTCCATATGTTTCATCATATAGCGATTATTGCCCTTGAACAAAGATATTTAACAATATAAAATGGACAATTGTGTCATAAGAAGAGAAAAAGAGAAAGATAAATATGGATATTGTGATGATATATGGAAAAAAGAAATATTACGGATGTGTACAGTTTTTCACGTAATATACACACTTTTTTGATCAGAATCTTATAATTCACTTTTTTTTCACAAAATCAAATAGACCATATATGTTCATCAATATATTCGTCTTTGATCCTAGATTATATAATTGAGGGAAATGTGACTTAATGGACTCAAAAACCCGGAAGCCAATATTATAAAAAAATAATTAAATTATGATGCCTAGATATTGTATAATTAAAGGAGCAATTAAATTATTTGAAATTGAGTAGATATAACATCCACTAAAACACAAGATTTTAAATATAAAATCTCTAAATAAATCATGTATTTATATTATTATTATTATAATGGAAAGCGACATCTAAGACTTTATGTGATAACAATATAGAATACGCTACAGTAAAGTATCATGGCGTCACATTCTAAAGATATAGAATAAATGATTTAAAAACTATCCAATTACAATAATTTTAAATATAGAATTGAACGGCTCTTTCCGAATTGAGATCACTTTTTTGCGCATACTCTCATTCTCTACTTCCCATTCTCTGATATTTGTTTGATGTTAACTAAAACATTTTATCAACAAAGTGGTCTTAATTCAGAAGCCTCGAATTGAACTGAATTTGAATATAATTTTCTCTACTTTACTATACGTAATGCATATTTTATATTTTAGAATGATCTTAAATAAATTAAAAGACATCATATCATATGAGATTTGAATTTGATATTTTATTTTTTTTATATGAGAACATTTGAGTATCATTATTTCTTATATTTATTTCATTTAATTGATATTTTAGATTTTTTGTTTTCTAATTGAATATGGCGTATAACAAATTCTTTTCAATAATAATTGAACCAGACATAACGTCAACTTGATTGACTTGATAAATATGTTCACATTTATTTTTGATGAGTTTTAATGTCGAGAGAAGAAAAGAAAAATGAGAAAATCCAATATATATATATATAAATATACTTTCTTATTTCACTCTCGTTATTTGACATTTTTTTTTTTTATCATTTGATTATTACGATAAAAGAGATAGATGTTTCAACGACATTGTTCATATTTTCTAAATAAAATTACTGTACTATTACTCTCAGTGTTCATTGTGTATAAAATAAAAATAAAAAAAAAAGACAGCAGAAAGACAAGAAGAAGATACGAGAATAGTGGTGTGGTGTGGTATACACGGTTTTTTCACTATATATTCGGTATGCCCGAAACATAATGAAGGTTAGAATAATGATCAGTGATGAGAATGATGATAATAATAATAATAACATCCAGTCATGATTAATATATATATATATATATATACTATATATGGAGAGAGAGAGGAGAAAAAAACCTGTATAGATGAAAAAATCAGTTTGTTGTTCATTATAAAATAGGCGGAATATTGATAAACTAAAAGATAAATAGTTTTTATTTAAAAAAAAAGATTTTTTCTTTGAACACATATCATCCGTACTATTTTTTTCTTTCTTTCTTTATTCGTTATAAATCATCTATTATAACGAAGGATAATGATACATGCAATTTACATTATTTTTTTCTCCAGTTTTCTAAAACGACATTTTCTTCATCTAACATCCGGTATGCT